ACCAGGGGATCATCTAGATGTACATACTCTTTTTCATTATGGAACAGATATGAGGGTATCGCGTAAAATGACAAGGGGATCACCTAGATGTTCAATACTATAGTTTTCTTTAAAAAGAAATAAGGGGGTCACGTATCATAAACAGGTGATCATCTAGATGTACATATATTTCTTATTTTGGAACAAATACATCGTTTAACGGGATCACGCAAGATGACAAGGGTATCATCTAGATGTACATATACTATAGTATTCATTGAACATAAATAAGGGGATCACGTAAGATGACAAGGGTATCATCTAGATGTACATATACTATAGTATTCATTGAACAGAAATAAGGGGATCACGTAAAATGACCAGGGGATCATCTAGATGTACATATACTATAGTATGCATTGAAAACAAATAAGGGGATCACGTAAGATGACCAGCGGATCATCTAGATGTACATATACTATTGTATTCATTGAACAGAAATAAGGGGATCACGTAAGATGACAAGGGTATCATCTAGATGTACATATACTATAGTATTCATTGAACAGAAATAAGGGGATCACGTAAGATAACCAGGGGATCATCTAGATGTACATATGCTAAAGTATTCATTGAATAGAAATAAAAGGATCACGTAAGATGACCAGTGGATCATCTAGATGAACACATACTTTAGTTTTCAGTAAACAGAAAGAAATAAGGAGATCAGATAAGACGACCAGGAGATCATCTATGTGTACATACTCTTTTTCATTAAGGAACAGATACGAGGGGATTGCGTAAAATGGAAAGGGGATCATGTAGATGTACATATTCTATTTCTTATTATGGAACAGATACATTTAATAAGGGGATCAAGTAAGATGACAAGGGTATCATCTAGATGTACATATACTTTAATTTTCATTAAACTGAAGCAAGGGGACCACGTAAGATGACCAACGGGTCATCTAAATAAATACATACTTTAGTTTTCATAAAAGAGAAATAAATAAGGGGATCAGGTAAGACGACCAGGAGATCATGTAGATGTACATACTCTTTTTCATTATGGAACATATATGAGGGGATCGCGTAAGATGACAAGGGGATAATGTAGTTGTACATATACTATAGACTTCATTGAACAGAAATAAAGGGATCACGTAAGATGACAATGGTATCATCTAGATGTACATATACTATAGTATTCATTGAAAAGAAATAAGGGGATCACGTAAGATAACAAGGGTATCATCTGATGTACATATACTATAGTATTCATTGAACAGAAATAAGGGGATCACGTAAGATGACAAGGGGATCATCTAGATGTACATATACTATAGTATTCATTGAACCGAAATAAGGGGATCACGTAAGATGACAATGGTATCATCTAGAATGACATATATTATAATTTTCATTGAAAAGAAATAAGGGGATCACGTAAGATGACAAGGGTATCATTTAGATGTACATATACTATAGTTTTCATTGAAAAGAAATAAGGGGATCACGTAAGATGACCAGGGGAACATCTAGATGTACATATACTATGGTATTCATTGAACAGAAATAAAAGGATCACGTAAGATGACCAGCAGATCATCTAGATGAACACACACTTTAGTTTTCATAAAACAGAAAGAAATAAAGAGATCAGATAAGACGACCAGGGGATCATATATGTGTACATTCTCTTTTTCTTATGGAAAAGATACAAGGGGATCGCGTAAAATGACAAGGGGATCATGTAGATGTACATATTCTATTTCTTATAATGGAACAGATACATTTAATAAAGGGATCACGTAAGATGACAAGGGTATCATCTAGATGTACATATACTATAGTATTCATTAAACAGAAATAAGGGGGTCACGTAAGATGACCAGCGGTGCATCTAAATAAACACATACTTTAGTTTTCATTAAAGAGAAAGAAATTAGGGGATCAGGTAAGACGACCAGGAGATCATATAGATGTTCATACTCTTTTTCATTATGGAACATATATGAGGGGATCGCGTAAAATGACAAGGGGATCATGTAGATGTACATATACTATAGTTTTCATTGAACAGAAATTAGGGGATCACGTAACATTACAAGGGATTATTTAGATGTACATTTACACTTTTTTCATTATGGAACAGATCACATAAAATGACCAGGGGATTATCTAGATGCAAATATACAGTAACTATAGTTTTCATTGAACAGAAATAATGAAATCACTTAAGATTACTAGAATTTATCTAGATATACATAAACTCTTTTTCATTATGGAACATATGTTAGAGGATCACGTAAAATGACCAGGGTATCGTCTAGATGTGCATATACTATAGTATTCATTGAACAGAAATAAGGGGATCACGTTAAATGACCAGGGGATCATCTAGATGTACATATACTATAGTTTTCATTGAACAGAAATAAGGGGATCACGTTAGATTACATGGATATCATGTAGATGTACATTTTCTTTTTCATTTTGGAACAGATATGATGGGATCACGTAAAATGACCAGGGGATCATCTAGAGTAGATGTACAAATACTATAGTTTTCATTGAACAGAAATAAAGGAATCACGTACGATTACAAGGGGATCATGTAGATGTTCATATACTCTTTTATAATAAGGAACATATATAAAGGAATCACGTAAAATGACGAGAGGATCATCTAGAGTTACATATACTATAGTTTTCATTGAGCAGAAATAAGTGGATCACGTAAGATTATCACGACGTTCCAGCTTTACTGGTGGAGGGCGACTTCAGGTACCCTTCCGTGCATTATTTCAGGCACGAACGGGCACCTGATAAGAACCACCGACGTTCCATAAGCAAGCTGGATAGCTTCATCACATGAAAGAATCCAAAGTCCCTGTCGGGATTCGAACCCAAAGCGGTGAGGGGCAAGTGGTTTGAAGTCAACGACCTTAACCACTTGGCCACGGACGCAAATAGTATTTATACATCTAGATGATCATCTGGTTATCTTACGCGATCCCCTTACTTCTGTTCAATGAAAGCTATAGTATAATTATGTACATCAAGATGATCACCTGATCCTTTTACGCGATCCCCTCATATCTGTTCCATAATGAAAAAGAGTATGTACACAAAGATGGCCGACGTACCTGATCTCCTTATTTCTTTCTGTTCAATAAAAACTATACTATGTGTTCATCTAGATGATCCGCTGGTCATCTTATGTGATCCCCTTATTTATGGTCAATAAAAACTATGGCATATGTAAAATTAGATGATCCCCTGGTCATCTTAAGTTATCCCCTTATATCTGTTCAATGCAAAATATAGAATATGTACATCTAGATGGCCCACTGGTCATCTTACGTGATCCCCTTATATCTGTTAAATGAAAAGTACGGTATATGTACATTAAGATGATTCCCTGGTCAACTTACGTGATCACCTGATATCTGTTCAATGAAAACTGTAGTATATGTAAATCTAGATGACCCACTTGTCATATTACGTGATCTCCTTATATATGTTCAATTAATACTAAAGTATGTGTACATCTAGATGAATCCCTGGTCAGCTTACATGATACCCATATATCTGTTCCGTAATAAGAAAGAATAAATTTACATGTAGATGATCCCCTTGTCATCTAACGTGATCGGTATTCCTTTATTTCTGTTCAATGAATATTATATTATGTGCACATCTAGATGATCCCCTGGTCTGCTTACACGATGCCCATATATCTGTTCCATCATAAGAAAGAATAAATGTACATGTAGATGATCCCCTGCTCATCTCACGTGATCCCTTTACTTCTGTTCAATGAATGCTATAGTATATGTACATATAGACGATCCCTTTGTCATTTTACGTGATCCCTTTATTTCTGTTCAATGGATACTATAGTTAAAGTAAATATAGTTGATTCCCTTGTCATCTTTCGTGATCTCCATATATCCGTTCCATAATTAAAAAGAGTATATGTACATGTAGATGATCCCCTGGTCATCTTATGTGATCCCCTTATATCTGTTCAATGAATATTATAGTATATGCACATCTAAATGATCCCCTGGTCATCTTAGGTGATCCCCTGATATCTGTTCAATGAATTTTATACTGTATGCACATCTAGACGATCCCCTGGTCATCTTACGTTATCCCCTTATATATCCCTTCCATAATAAGAAAGAGGACATGTATATCTAGATGATCACCTGGTCACCTTACGTGATCCACTGATATCAGTTCAATGAAAATTATTTTATGTGTACAAGTAGATGATCCCGTGGTCATCAAGTACGTGACCCGCTGATATCTGTTCAATGAAAAAATAGTAAATGTACATCTAAATGATTCCCTGGTCATCTCACGTGATTGCGTTGTATCTGTTCAATGAAAATTATATATTGTAAACTTGGTCCTCTTATGATGTGATTCCTAATATATTTTTCATATGAACATAAGTATAAATTGTATGTACATTCAGATGATCCTTTAGTCATCTAACTTGATATCCTCACATAGGTTCATATGCTGATTAAATTATTTGGCATATGAATGAAAGCACCATAATATACAGTAACACTGATCATTTCCACAGATTTATAGTCTATTTTAATCATGATGATAACGCTTTATAAGAAATTCGTGCTTAATTTATAGGCGGGGCTAAATATGCAAAGTGTACTCTTACTCGGTCCCTTTTTCCGTTTACCTCAATGTGATACCGTAATGTCATTCCATGAAAATTACCGTGAGGTTCCTAAGCAAAACAGGTGTGTGCTATAAATGAAAAACAATGGGCGGAACTAAAAAAATAAGATTTAAGAGGGGATCAGATCTTTTGAAGCCTGTCTGCGCATTACAGATTAAGTACCTGAGAAAAAAGCGGGCAACATATTAACAGAATATTCAGTTATTTGTTCAATAATTAATGACAATAAAAAAGAAAAAAAAAAAGAAAAAAAATTAAATGAAAAGTCATCGAAGGTCCCATGATGGTTTTTCTTAATTTATACAACATCTTATATGATGATATTAAATACTCGTAAATGTTTACAGAATAAAATATAACAGAACAGCTATTACAGCGACGATCAACATATAAATTGCCCCTGAACTTTTGCGTTCAGTTTTAGCACAAGGTCTTGTCTGAAGTGGTTTGTATACACGCTCCCATTGTGTCATAATGGCATTCCGTGCACCTTTCCAAGGCCCCGGTCCCATTAATCGATATTGACAAGGGGTGCAAGGTCCAAAGAAAACTTCCATCGCAAGTTTTGGATCAGTCAGAATAAGTTTTCCTGGGAATGAAAAAGGACATTAGACAAGCAAAAAATATTGTGTAAAATAATAAATATGGATATCTGTTTAAAATAGCATTGCTTTTTTAAGAGTTATAAGATATTACATGTAGCTTTTACAATACTAAGATTTTTTTCATCATGAAAAATACGGAAACCAACCATGAATGAATAGGTAGTCATCTATCCCTGCCAGAAGTGTTCGAGTAATTTAAACATGAAAATAACAAAAGTAATGTGTAACGGGAGCATGAGAAGGAAAATCTGAGCCAGAACAAATTTTGACTTAATTGATATTGGTTTGGAAATAAAAATTTCACTAAAAGTTTCAGTAAATATTTTCGCACAGATAAGGGCCCGCACAATAAACCTAATATAAAATCCTATTTTTTCTATCATCTATTCCCAGTTAAAGAAGTAAAGAAGTTCGATGCAAATCCGGCGAAACCTTTTAATCTTTGAGTGTTTTTTATTCGTTTTAAACTTTCATTTAATAACATATTCCTTTGTTTCATCTCGTCGGGCGATCCACCCCACAAATATTTCCTAGAAAACTAACAAGAAGTCACAAATATCTTTGGATGAAAAAGTTGTGCAATTCAATCCAGACAAAAGTATCATAAGTATCAACGAGGTAACGTACTTTGGTCATATACTGAGCTGAGACGGTAGGAAACCTGACCCGACACAGTTTTCAACAATTTTAGCCATTAAACCTTTCAATTTTCATTATCAATACATATCTGGCAGTTCTGAACTGATCCTATACAAAAACTGTCCGACTATATGATATGGAACATCGGAACATTAAAGGGAAAAACAATATGTACTTTGTTATCAATTATTTTCAGTCAATTTTTGACCAAGTAATTACTTAAAGGTTAATATTTATATAGTGTTTGATATTTTTGTCTGTTAGATTCATACATTATCACTTACTGACGTTAGGCTTACAGCCAACCATTTCAGCCAGTTCATCCATGTAAGGGACATAATCCACTTGTATTGTGTGTCTCAAAGACTGTTTGTATCTCATACCCATAGCCGCTTGCTTGCTTTTAATGTCTTCCCACATCTCGGTACTTTCTGGCAACGTCTTTAATCCCTGGAAATATCTACTATCTTATTAGATATCATATGAAAATATATGTAAGACACTTAATTAAAAACGTGTACTAAACATATGGTAAATCACAGTGACCTTTTAAATTGTCAAACTAAATTCTCTTGATAAGAATTCCTTTAATTTCAAACATAACGAAAGAAAACTTGAATATTCATAAAAGGAAGCATAAGAATCAACTCAAAGCATCAAACAATGTTTAGAAATAAAATATTTAAAATAAATGGGGTCACCTTCGGGGCCTAAAATTGAAAAAAAATATTTAAAATTTGCAATTATAGTATTTTATAACTGCTTTAAAACAAGAAATTGCAAATAACACTGAATAACCGGTTTGTAGTAGCAATTCCGGTATAAGACTGAGATGAAATATCTAGAAAATATGTCTAAGTGTATCAAAATACCAATAATTACCTTAAACACCCTTGTAGCAAGGCGACATTGCATTTCGCTCATTGGCATAATTGCACCAAGTGGCTGGAAGCAACCGATGATTGCCATCGTATGTTTTTGCAAGTCGGGTGGAAACATGTACTTGTATAGATTGACTTTGTTGGCTTTCACCTCTATCACACTTTTATCAATGAATGGAAATCCAAAAATGTAACCCGTTGCTAGAACTACAGCATCCAAATTATCAATTTTTGTACCGTCTTCAAAGATCGCCCCAGTTTCTGTGAACTCTGCAACATTGGCTTTTACAATAACACCTCCAGAAATGATTCTATTTGGCAACTCATCATTCAAGGTTGGGTGTGCAGAGAACAGACCATGTTTGGGTTTTAGGCAATACTTTTCATGATCAAATTTATTGTTGAGTTTCTTTTCTGCGAGCGATATCAACATATTTGGAAAAGACTTTAAAAGCTTTGTGTTCAAGCGAGTTGAATGCATCATGTCACCAGGAAGTCCTTTATCATCTACACGATGGAAAATCCATGAACCTGATCTTGTACTCAGATAAACCTAAAATATGATTTAATAAAATCCAATGTGAATGAGTTTCTTTTAAAGAAGAATTATATTGAACTACAGGTTAACAACAAGAGAAATCGCTAATGTATCTTTTTAAGTTTTTAGTGTTTGAAAACATCCGTATGACTAAGACTGGCATGGTCATTATTTAAAGGGGCTCTTGAAATCTAATCAATTCGAAATGTTTTATAATATTCAAAACTAAATAATGGCTCGAAAGTGTTTCATAAATACGACAATATATATTCATTACAGTCCGTAGGAATTGATACTGTCCAAACATGTGGTGCTCCTGTAAATAAAATCTCGTGTATATAGATTCAGACCCAAATGCAATGACAAAAATTAAGAAAGATAAAGATTATAATTTATTTCAAACCTGTGACGATATTCGGCTAAGTTCTGTTGCAACGTCGCCGCCAGAATTTCCAATGCCAATAATCAGGACGTTTTTGTCTTCGTACCCATGATAATCTTTATAGTCGTGTGTATGCGTGACCTTGCCCTTGAACTTGTTTAGTCCGGGAAAATTTGGTATGTTCTTTTCAGCATGATGACCAGTACATATGAGGACAGCGTCGAATACACGGGTCTCTTCTTTATCAGATGTCTTTATGGCGATTTCCCATTGCCCATCACTGTTAAACGTTTTGGTTGGTTTCACAGACAGCACCTGGATATAATTGTTTGACTAAATGATAAAATTGAAACGATAACTACGCCTACTGAATAGAGCTTATGAAACTTGCTTAGCTAGACTGCACCTAATGATCCTGTAACTCAAAATTTTTATGGTTTTATATCATGAATCTGATGCTCAAATGAAGATTTATCAATATTATAAGTTCAAAAAAGCATTATTTGTAAATATATTGCTGAATCTACATTTCATGTAAATAAGAGAGGTAATTAGAAATCTATTTTCGATAAAGTTTAAGCCAATTTTTTTTTTCAATAAAAATAAAAGCATAGATTTTAGTGATTACTTATAATGCAAATAAATATTTGCAGTACATATTTAACATATTCGTGGATGTTTGGAAATTGGTTCAGAAGAATAATTTTATACATATATAAAATTTCACTTTAGTGTTGATACATCCTTAATTACAACATACAGTTGCTCATTTATATTATATAATACTAATCCTAAAACCTCATGTTATGTACTTTAATATTATAGTAAGATCAACCGCATGGTAATGGCGCGTATCTCGTAAACACTGATACATGCAAAGTACTCAGACCAGGTGTAGTAAAAAGATTTCAAATTAATTCTTGCAAGTAAATTAAAAATCTCTACGCAGTGTTGATAAGGAATCGAACCAGAGACCTTCATATCGGTAGTCAAACATCTATACTAATATACCACACCTTACTGACGAGTGAAGTTTACAAATATATCGTTATATTCGACAGATACTGCATGGTCAGTATTTATTCGAATGTTCTTTACGAAGCAAGGTCAACATTGTTGAACAATAACCGGCTACAATATAGAATTACAAATACATTGATATTTGTGTGCGTTTCGGTTCGTCACGGTAAACCTGTCAGAATTCGAGACATTTATTTGCATTATTATAACATTAGATATACAAGTTGCTAACGGTATATACGGGAGAATATCACCGTAGAGAACGTGTTACAGTATCGCGTTTTTCGGTTACAGTATAGAATTTTCAAGATGGAGGATTTTTTATGGAAAGAGAAGTAGGCGATTTTTATTCAGGTCCATACTACAAGTAGTTTAGTTTCTAAAAGATGTTTTTATGCTTTGCTTGTAAGGAACAGAATCCGATATCTAGTCATATATTTCTTCAGACCCTGCACCGCAGATTTATCGCTATATTGTCTCATAAATGTGCAGATTTGACGGTTTGAAAATTTGAATCGAGAGATCAACGCATTTTTCTCCCATTCCGACATTATTTAAGCATGCCTTGATAAAGTAAATCTACAAAATGTTAGTCCATTGTGTTTAGAAACGTTTATAAAAGTAAATGACCAGTTGAACCTATTTTCATGTTGGTAAAAGGCGTTTGAAGAAGTAAACAATGTTACAGTATAGAGCGAGGTTAATTTTGAAGGGTTACAGCATAGACCTAGCGACTTTGATCCAATTTTGTTACAGTTTATACCCAGATTTCGGTTACAGTTTAGATACTTGCCAAATTTCAAACAAAGTTAGTGTATCCATTATTTTTATGAAATAACTCATACATTTCTATTTAATACATTCTTGAAAGGTTGTATAACTTTTTTTCTTGAGCAGAAAAGTTATAATTTGCTATTTTTCATCCTTTAAGTTTCAGATTGAGACTTTTTGCAGAATAAGTAATGTCCTAAAAAAGGACTGTTTTCACGACAACAACAGTAACTTTTATCGAATTGTATTGAGAGAAGAAAGATTATTGCTTGATTTCATTACACATTATAATGCCTATTTGTAATAAAATAGAGAAAAATTAATCCTAAATAGAAGTCCAACACGGAAAGCATGAACATGTTGCAGGCTGAGTTTGATTAAACCTGTTCATGGACGGTAGTGGTAACTAACTGCAAGCTACCATCCACGCCTCCTTCAGCACCGGCTTCAGGAGAATTCACATTAAACCATGAACTGGTACACTTTAGATTTTTTAACATCTGTGGATATGTTTCATATTGGCGGTTATCATGGAACCTTCAATGTGACACGTTATTGCCCATTCTATGAAAAGCGGCATATTACCCCAATATTAGAAATTGCATGTGCCCTAAATGAGAATACAATGAGTGAAAACTAAAAATAAAATGAATTTTGAGAGGGGATCGGAGATTATGAAGCCTGCATACCATAGATAAGCTGTCAAAAGACACAATTAAACAAGCAGGCAATACCCTAAGAATGATTAAACAGTATTTAAGTGAGCAATACTGCAAAACCTTGTATCATAGTTTGGGGACCTTTATGTTGAAAATGTGTCCGAGTTAAATCGCATACATGCACTGTGAGTTAACTGGAGTGCAGGTATTAGTTACCCGCACTCCAGAGCATGCCCATTGATTGGCTCATTTTTGCTGGGGTTTACTTATTGTGACGGCAGAAAAAAGGGAAAGCGACAGAAATTTCATATCTAGATGCTCGTTCATTGGTTACTTTTCTCCGGGGTTTCATATTGTGACAACAGGGAACGTATTTTAATGTTAAAGAGAAAGAACATCAAAACACTCGGCAATCTGATAAATCAGATAGCCTCGTGTTTCGATGCTCTTATTATTATTTATTACTTAAATCTTATTTTAAGTTGCAATTTCCATCTACCATAATGTATTTTATTAGTATTTAAAAGGGGTTTGTTACGTTTGGCTTTCTTGGATTTAAAGTTTCAACGACACTGAGGACATGTGAAAACATTCCTGCTTTAGTGTAAAGAAAGACCCCAGATACCCTTTTGTGAAACATTTAAGACACGGGCACCTGGCTAGAACCACCGACCTTCCGTAAATTAGCTTGATAGATTCCTCACATACAAAGAATCCAAAGTCATGATTGGATTTCAACTACAGCAGTAAAGGAAAGATGATTTGAAGTCGACGGCCTTATCCGACTTTGGCACTATTATGTACCTCCATCAGGCTCACTAGAGAAGATATTGACATTGTCTGACCTTTAATTTATACTCTATAACTTTCAATATTATTTTCTTTTTTAGAAACATGAAAACTGCTAACAGGATATCTGAAATTAAAAGAAAACGACTTTTAATGTAATAATAATAAAAATAATCGTTACTTCAACATAGAAGCATTCGAAATGACGCCATGATCATGATTTGATTTGATTTGATTTGATTTGAATGCTTTTGGTTCGAGATGAGAAGGGTCTTTAAGCATTGCTTTTTTCGAAATCTATGTTTTCGAAAATTAAATTGGTAGAAAGTCATGTAAATTTCATCACATTTAGTCAAGTAGTTACTGAGCGGATGAGATTGCACACATTTTTGTACGACAGACGGACGAATAGCCATCGGGCCAATAAGCTCACAGAGATTTAAAAGTCTATGTAACATTTATACATTTTACCTAGTATATATAGAAAATATCGAAGTCTAAACTGTAACCGAAATCTGGTATAAAACTGTAACAAAATCGAATAAAAATCGCTAGGTCTATGCTGTAGCCCTGCACAAATCGCCTCGCTCTATACTGTAACATTGTTTATTTTTTCAAACGCATTTAAAGAACAGGAAAATAGGTTCAACTGGTCATTTACTTTTATAAACGCTTCCTAACATAAAGGACTAACGTTTTGCAGATTTACTTTTTTTAGGCATTCATAAATAATGTCGAAATTGGAGAAAAATGCGTTGGTCTCTCGATTCAAATTTTCAAACTGTCAAACCTGCATATTTATGAGAAATTATAGCGATAAATCTGCGGTGCAGAATCTGAAGAAATATATGACTAGATACCGGATTATGTTCCTTACAAGCAAAGCACAAAAACTTCTTTTAGAAATTAAACTACTTGTAGTATGGATCGGAATAAAAATCACCTACCTGTCCTCCAAACAAATAATCCTCCATCTTGAAAATTCTATACTGTAACCGAAAAACGCGATACTGTAACACGTTCCCTACGGTGAATATAGCCTGAATGAAATAAATATGACCAGACGCTCTAGCCGAAGATTATATTTCTGTCAGCAAGGCTTTATACTGCCATTTATCCTTACAAATCCGCGAGATTTTCTGCCGAAATTTTACAAAATATCGCGGGGAACGTATAAACGTTGATATTTTATAACAGTTGTTGGAAACTGCAAGGAATATTTTGACTTCAGTGGCCGGTAGTGTCCATTGTTTGACTTTACATTTTATCCGTCGTTTGTCTGGAACAGAAAGAAATCCGCGATATTTTTTCGCAAGTGTTTGTAGAAGTCGAGGGGAAAAAATAATTAACAGGTCCGCGACTTTTTGTTGAATATTCATTTCATTTTATATAATTAACCGCGACTTTTGGGGGAAAAACCCTGGACTGTTTAGCTCAGAGACATTTCGCAGCATAAAAAGTCGAGACTTAATGCTCAAACTCGACTTTTTTTACAAGGCATGCATCCAAAACAAAATATCGCGGATTATAATGACCACAATCGGCTACCTAAAGTAGGTATATGTTTGCGTGTATTTTAGTGTTAAATGTTGAATTCTGCTTAAGCCGGTGCTAGGGGGCGTGGACGGTAACTTTTCCAGTACCGTCCTTTAACAGGCTCAATCAAACCGAGCCTGCAAGATTTTCAATTTTGTTGTGTTGGACTTTCTTTAAAGATTCTGTTTTTCTCTATTTTAGTCTACTTTGTAGACAACCGCAACGCGAATGAAATCAAAAGTTATTAAAAATTTATTGCGGAGTTACCTTTAACTCTTTTCTTGTAGTAATGATATTGTCAATCGAGAAATATACAATACAGAACCAAACCTTTATGCACACATGTAGGTAATCGTCTTCCGAATTAGATTTTAACGGTATAAACGATATTTTATACACACACACACACACACACACACACACACACACGCACGCACGCACGCACGCACACCAACACACACGCACACACACACACACACACACACACACACACACACACAAACCGTACAATCAAATGGGCAGATAGCAGTTCAAACGTCGACAGCTGTACCAGTATATACATGTCGGCGCACGAAACACAATTGACGGACGGTAGGTATTCATGTATTTTTAACATATCCCAACTGTGTTCGAGTAAATCAATGTTATGGATTCATAGCCAACATTCAAAGGAGCATACTAACAAATTTCTGGCCCTGTGCAAGCTTTACTTCATGTGAATTTTGACTGATAATAACCACACTATCCGATGAGATGCGGCATTTTTAATTTTAAGTCACAAAAACATATATTTTCTCATGATAATAAATCCTTTTATCGTACGATTCGTAAACGTCAACATTTGATATTAAAAACCTTCAAAAATGCTTTTCTGTTAAAGTTAAAGGGTAAGTTGGAGTGTCATCAAAATTTTAAGTAACGTCATCAGCCGTTTCGCCTCTTTTTTAATGATAGCATCGACAGCCATTCATTATGTTAAATTTAATTTACATCCTGTAAATAAATCATTTTATCATGATGAAAAATTTAGAAAATTATTGAAGAGTAGATGGATTTTGTAAGCATGACGTCTTATTTTAGAAAGTATCATGATAAATTAATATTTTAAATGAACAAAAAAGTTTTACTCTTTCCTAGTTACTGTTAGCACAAAAGCGCTGAAAATTGTTTCCTTGAACGGCTTTCAGCTTTATTCATTCTTGCCGATTTTATCATTAAAAAGAGGGCGAACGGCTGATGACGTTACTAAAGTTTTGATGACACCCCAACTTAAATACCCTACTGTATAACTTTACATAATTTTAACTGTTTTGACGTCAACGTAATGAACGATTTTAACGTGCGATTGGACTAAATAATTAATGGAATAAAATGTAATGTTTACCTCTGTATTGAAGTTTATGTACTTTCTCAGTCCGAACTTTGTCCGCGTACATATGGAAATATCTATCGACATACTTATTATGCATGTAGATCGGAAACTCTCCTGGGGATAGGAAAATCACTGTAACACATCATCTCCTTTGATGTATTGATCACCGTAGATTTCATCACACATGCCTGACCTTCCTCTACATCTTCTGTGTAATGCCATAATCCACTTATATAGTTTACCCCTCTCAAAACATACAGGTTCAAGTCCCTCGTCCAGACAGCATTTGATAGCTGTTAAACCACTAGCACCTGCCCCGATCACTGCTATGCTTTTCATTCTTTACTTATCTTTTCGTATTTTTCAAAATGATATCCCATAAGATACATGTACACTAAACCACTGCGGTACACATACTATAAACATGTCAACCTCTGTTGACGTATATTGCGATAACAAACACTGATAACTATGGACGCCTTGGAGAGCCACTTATAAATTGGAGGTTCAACTAACAGGTCTTTTTTATATTTAAGTTATGACTTTGGGCATATGACTTTTGATTTATTTCAGCTAAAAGTTTAATTGTGAAAAGAACAAAATGTAATGCATTATAATTTTTTTAAACAGTCATTAGAACAATTTGGATGTTTTTTTATTATATTTTAATAACAAATATATCTTTTGCGTTCCACAGCGTATGATTCAATAATTTAGCACCTCAGATTTCGACTGCGTTGACCTTAACACTGTTTAATTCGATCCTGTTTAACACTTATTGTTGTCATAAAGCCTTGTGTTTATGGAATTTACGAGGAAAAATTCCAGTTAGTTGAAAAATATTCATAACAAAAAATGTACAATAAAATAAAAATGCCTTATCCAGAATTCGAACCGAACCAGGATCTCTACACTTCCGAAGCAAACACTCTCTACGCTAGTACGCTGTGGAATGTTGAATACATGTATATGAGTAACGGCTCCGGTTTAAACGATAAATATAGTTAAAACATTTTATATAAGAATTTTCGACATCCCTCTATGTCAATATTGATGTAAACAGGTTAAAAACATGGCCAACATATACGGCCTCTGAAGTGATAACAAAGAGTTCTACATTGTGTCCTCATGACCTTGATATTCATTTTGTATAAAGGCAGATAACGATTTTGGCCCAAGTTTTAACGAAGGTTCAGTTATGA